TCATATTGTAATGATTCAATTATTTTATCTTTATCTTCTAATTCATATTGTAATGATTCAATTATTTTATCTTTATCTTCTAATTCATATTATATTTGATCCAATTCTAATTCTTTTTTTAATAGTAAGAAATAAATGATTAATTGCTGGTTAAGAATTTTTTTCGAAATGGAAATCCAATGTTTATGTTGGTGAAAGGTTTTGAAGTTCACCCTGTACAAAGAAATATTAATTTATATCTTTAAAAAAAGAAAGTTTACCAGTAGGTTTTAAATTTCTTCTTTATTTGTTAATCTAATCAATAATTCTGATGTAGACTGTTTGATTTATAGAATATTAATCTGTTGTGATTATTGTGATTGTTAAGTCGAAGTAATGAATTGTGTTTGAGCACTAATACACGCCTTCTCTTTTGTAGAAGTTGATGTCTGTGCGGTCAGTATGGTTAATTTTTCTTTATCAGTGTGGGTAGAGAGTGATGTCATGATGTTGCGTGTTTTTAGGTACACCAATACATACTGCAAGGATGCTAATTTTGTCTTACTGAGCTGGATATCCTTAGAAAAATTGATTCTGCTTTAACTGTGCTCGAGGACTCCCTAATCCAGTAGAGTGTCTTGTTTATATTTATAAATATAGTATATTTAAATGCAAATACCAGTTCAAACCATGCTTGTCTTTCAAATCTTTTGATCAAATTAAGGTTTTAAACCTTTATTAATAATCTTTATTTGATATTTTTATATCAGACCTCTCAAAATGCAAAATTCCAATTACGGAGAGACCTCCTTAAGTGCACCCTCCATAAATGCATTCTCTATGTAAAATCTCTTTAAGTGCACGATGTAGTCTGGTCCCAGTTTATAATAATATTTCATATTTTGCTCTCTATAAATGCACACCCTCTCTAAGTGCACATTTTTTACTATAGTCCCGAGGGGGTGCATTTAGGGAGGTTTCTCTGTATATTATACTCGCAACGCAGGAAGATGCTCTCTCTGTATAAACCCGGATTATTCTCGATGCGCTCCCGACTAAAGTATGTCGCCGTAGTTCAAATTATGATACTGTATGTAGTAATGTACGTAGTAATTATTTACTACAAAAATAATAACTAATATTACATGTATTATACGTAGTAATATTTTATTATATGTAGTAATTATTATTACAAGTATATATATATACGTAGTAATTATTATCACAGGTAATAATTATTATTATTACAAGTATATACGTACTGTATATATATGGATTTTACTAAAACGCACCTATGGTGTTTTACACCTATGTATACAATTATCTCAAAAACTGGCTAATTAATCGATGCGAGGTGTTCTAAGTAAAAATGTTTTACGCCCCTAAAAACCCCTCCCAAACTCTAATCCTAACCTTAATATTAACTTTAGCGTGAAAAAATTGGTGTTAAAAATTTTATATACAAACTTATAAAAACTTGGAAAATTTTAAAAAACAATAAAAACATATAATAGGTGCAAAACCACCATAGGTGCGTTTTATAATAATTGATATATATATAGTAATTATTATTATTAAATGCAATATTTATTGCATATTGTAATTATTATTACTAGTAATTATTATTATGGATAAATATAATACGTACGTATAAAAGTACTACATATTACTAAATTTATACGTAACAATCATATGGTGAATAAACCCGCAATTTTTGCAGCCAAATAATTTTTTGGCCTTTGGCCGGCTGGCCAAATTAGCCAACAACCAATGGCCAATAGCATTTATACGCATAATATTAGCCAATCATATTACTAGCTTTTCTATAAGAATATTTGGCCATTTCGGCCAAATAATTGTTTTTTTTTGTTCAATTTGACCATTGGCCACGGCCAAATGGCCAAGTGATACGTAGCACTAACAATAATATGCTAAATATTACTAAATTTATACCATAAATAATTACTGCATACGTATTACTACATCTTACTACACATAGCAATTAGAGAACACTAATAAGATCATAATGTGATTATTATCACGTGATTATTATCACGTGATAAGCAGACTTCAGTAGCTAGGGTTTTAATTATACCGGTATAATAAAAATGGTAGTATAATACCATGTATAATACCGTATAATACTGTATAATTATTATTTTGTTTCTATAGTCTAATATGGTTCGGAATCTTTCGGAAATTCCTAGAAATTAGCTTGTTTAAATCGGAAATCTTCGTGTTCTCAAATAAAACGATTTAATTGGCTAAATTGTTTCTAATTATTGGTATTATAAATATACCCTCTGTGTATAATACTGGTATTATACGGGTATTATACCAATTGTATAATACGGTATAAAAAATCTTAAAA